AGAAAAGTCAAGCGTGCAGCTGCCACGATGCCACTTGCCACCAGTTTGGCCATATTTCAGAGCTGCAACATCACTGGAGTGCCAAAAGCACAAGGTGTGCAATACTCAGAGACATGGCCAAGGTAAGAAAGGCTGAAAGACGACCACCACTGAACAAGACACACAAGCTGAAACGTCAAGACTGGGCCAAGAAATATCTCAAGACTGATTTTTCTAAGGTTTTATGGACTGATGAAATGAGAGTGAGTCTTGATGGGCCAGATGGATGGGCCCGTGGCTGGATTGGTAAAGGGCAGAGAGCTCCAGTCCGACTCAGACGCCAGCAAGGTGGAGGTGGAGTACTGGTTTGGGCTGGTATCATCAAAGATGAGCTTGTGGGGCCTTTTCGGGTTGAGGATGGAGTCAAGCTCAACTCCCAGTCCTACTGCCAGTTCCTGGAAGACACCTTCTTCAAGCAGTGGTACAGGAAGAAGTCTGCATCCTTCAAGAAAAACATGATTTTCATGCAGGACAATGCTCCATCACACGCGTCCAAGTACTCCACAGCGTGGCTGGCAAGAAAGGGTATAAAAGAAGAAAATCTAATGACATGGCCTCCTTGTTCACCTGATCTGAACCCCATTGAGAACCTGTGGTCCATCATCTAATGTGAGATTTACAAGGAGGGAAAACAGTACACCTCTCTGAACAGTGTCTGGGAGGCTGTGGTTGATGGTGAACAGATCAAAACACTGACAGAATCCATGGATGGCAGGCTTTTGAGTGTCCTTGCAAAGAAAGGTGGCTATATTGGTCACTGATTTGTTTTTGTTTTGTTTTTGAATGTCAGAAATGTATATTTGTGAATGTTGAGATGTTATATTGGTTTCACTGGTAATAATAAATAATTGAAATGGGTATATATTTGTTTTTTGTTAAGTTGCCTAATAATTATGCACAGTAATAGTCACCTGCACACACAGATATCCCCCTAACATAGCTAAAACTAAAAACAAACTAAAAACTACTTCCAAAAATATTCAGCTTTGATATTAATGAGTTTTTTGGGTTCATTGAGAACATGGTTGTTGTTCAATAATAAAATTAATCCTCAAAAATACAACTTGCCTAATAATTCTGCACTCCCTGTATAGGTCAACTCCCCCCAGTCCGTGGTGGTGAAGCAGAGGTGAGAGTATAAGCTGATCAGACCTTTCTGATATGTCTCAGTGTCACACAGCTTCTCATAAAAGATGGGCCGCTTGCTTTATGTGGGGTAAGCTTGCGAAGTCTCGCATTTAAATGCATCTGAAGAAATCTGTGGACGTTAATTTGTGTCTAGTTTTAAGTTCGTCAAAAGAGATCACTTCGTCACCTATATATATTCTAAGCACTTATAGTCTCGTGCTCTCATGCCCGGGGGGGAAGGCTCTGTTTCTAAGTAGGGGCATCATGGGTGATGGGAAGGATATCAGGTCATGTTTTCATGGGAAGATGTCCCAGACGTGGATGGAGTTGGTGATAGACGGGCAGGTGGTTCGCATTGATGCCCTATGTTCTTTTATAAGCTATATATATAGTTGTGGGATATCAACGCCCATCATCATGGACTCCAAGTCCACCCATCTCCTCTGATCTGGAGTGGTAGGGGTGCCACAAGGCTTCCTGTGTGAGTTGGGCTGCCACATAATAGTAATGGAGGTGTGGGAGTCCCAGACCTCTGTCAGTTTTGGGGTGGTAAAGTATATTGCAAGCCTCTTGTTCTGCCATATGTACCCGTCTATTCTCTTTGTAGGGGTGCTAGGTCTTTTTTAGTAATCGATAGGGGTAGTGACGGAAATAGGAAAAGTATGCGGGGGAGAATGTTCATTTTTATTGAGCGAATTCTGCCAATCCAGGATATTGGTTTGACTGTCCACCTCTCCATGTCACCTGTCAATGCCCGTATAAGAGGGGAGTAATAGGCCTGATATAAGGTCCCTGGGTTAGCCCCAGAGATTTATCCCCAGATATTTAATCTGATTGTGTGTCAGTCGTATTTTATACCTTCTGCTGATGTGTGCCATGTCTGACGCCGAGAGGTCCAAGGGGAGGGCACTGGACTTCTCCATGTTCACTTTGTAGCCTGGCAAGTCTCCGTAAGTGGACAGGAGTGGGACAAAGTTCGCATAGATTCCCTGGGATTCGTTAGCATGAGGAGTACATCGTCTGCGTGTCTCAGTGGATGGAGGGGAGACTATGAATGGCTTGCAACAAGGGCTCCAGGGACATCACAAACAGCAGTGGCGAGAGGGGGGCAACCCTGCTTCGTACCATTGCTCAGTGTGAATGGTTTGTTGCGTGTTCCAGTTATTGTGAGCTGTGATGTGACGTTTGTGTACATGGCTCGTACTGTGGTTTTGAAAGTATTCAGGAAATTCAAGTGTTTTAGAAGTTGGAACATGTAGGGCCATTTTACTCTGTCAAATGCTTTTTCAGCATCTAGAGATAGTATTAGTGCCGGGGCAGCTTTGTTTGTTAGCTTCCATATCAGGTCTATGTTCCTCTGGGTGTTCTTAAACAATTGTCTCCCGGGGATGAATCCCACCTGGTCTGCATGGATCAGATGTGACAGGAAGGGGTTTAGTCTGTTTGTTAGGGAGGGCCTACATGAAGTGAATGCATTCCCCTCCCGAACAGGGACCACCCCGACAACTCATTTAGAATGTTGGTTAAAACGTTCGCACCTCGTAATGAGGGGTCAAAAGCACAAACCGCAAGGGAAGCCTCGGCACGTGCCTCCCCTGGGTGGCGGCCAGTTCGTTATACGAACGCCGTCCAGGGAAGCATTCGTGGAGTGCTTCCCACCTCGTTCGGTTTGCGAACGGGGACCCACCTCAGTGCCCCTTGGAATGCTTGCACCAATCAATTAGAACATTGGCAACTTGCAACATGCGTGAAACCGCAAGGGAAGCAATTAATGAGTGCTCCCCTGGGTGGCCGCCGTTCATATAGACAGACGGCGGCCAATGGGAGCATTTGTGTCCCAAAAGGAGACGCTTCCCTTGCTTGGTTTCACCCAGGGATCCTGCAAACAGAGGCTGCTCATGGTGAGCACCGTTCTGGGGGACCTTGAGATTGGTGGGCTTTCTGTGACTGGGAGTCCAGGAGGAGGGAAGCTTTCCCGCGCTTAGGCTCCCAGGTACAGAGGCTCATTGGATAAAGATCCCTATCACCAGAGGTGGGAAACCCTGAGGATGGGTGGCGGGAACAAAGCGACTGGGGTTCTGGATCCGTTATGCGACCCCTGGGAGGGGGAGGACTATAGGAGGGCACAATGTCTTCATGAGTTTTCTACCCCTTGCATGGTGAAAGTATAGAGCCGCATGTGGCCAATAAAGCTGTTGTTGTTGTATCCCCAGTACTGTGTGTTGTCCGGTTACTGGGTAGGAAATGGGTCTTTCGGTATTTTAACTTTTCGCCCTTCTAGGGAAGGACTGGGCTGAGCGGGGGCAGCCAGTCAGGTTGCTAGGAGGCCCTCTACAGGTGTCAACTGTAGGATGACTGGCACGGTGTGCGGGAAAAAAGGGGATTAAAAACCTCTCTTCCATTTGATTGGAGGGGGCCAGTAACTTAAACACACAATCACAGGCACACTCATTAACAAACACAACTGACACTGCAGCAATCACATATTTTATGACATTTTTAATTTTTTTTCATTTTATTGTTACCACCCAGTCTGCCTACCTTTGGGAGAGCTGGAGTGGTTCAGCTTTCCCTGAGGTCCAGTGGGGATGCTGTCATCTCCCTGCTCTGCTACCTAGAGCTCTTGTGACGTCATATTCTGGCTCACAGCATCACTGTAGGGCACACAAGAGAGCAGAGAGATTACAGCTCCCTCTCCGCTCGCCTGCCTCAGCTCTCCATGAGCCGCCAGTCTGCCCGCGCTCTTCCTGAGCAGGCCTCATTCTGTCAGATTGCCAACCGTCAGCCTGTTTCCACTCACAATCATCTGGCCACGTCGCTGGGCTGAAAAGGACATCAAATCACAGAAGCCAGGACAAAAATCCTAGTCGCCATGGGGACCTGGCGCCCGGCATTGGTCAAGTTCTGACAAACACACAAATACAAACACTAACACATACAGACACGGACACACAGATACAAACACTGACACATGCAAATGCAGAGACACACATACAGTTGCACAGACACACATACTGACATACATGCAGATACACACATACAGACACACAGATCCAAACAATGAAAACACAGATACAGACACACAGAAAACTACTTGCAAAATGCTGATAAAAAAACCCAAACATGCTGATGCACAGACACAGCTACAAGTACTACCACATACAGATATGGAAATATATATACACATATATACAGCTGAATAAGACAGGTGGTTGCAGGTATTCCCAGCTCGCGGCCCTTTGCTCTTCAGCACAACAGAATCGGTTTCAGTTGGAAGTGCAGGATCTCTCACTTCCTCCCAGATCTTCCTACACTTTAGAACTGCACGACCGGGCCCCTCATGACACATTTCCATCAGGTGGCCCTGAGTGCATGGTCACCCATGAATGCCATCTCCCTGGGGCCCCACCACGTGTCTCACTCTCCTCCCTCCCCACGTGTCTTACCTGCCAGTGTTAATTTTAATGGCAGATTTCAATTTAGTCATAGTCTTTTGTCATAGTTTTAGTCAAATAAATCTCCAAAATTTTAGTTGACTAAATCTGACAAAAATAGTTAGTCAATGAAATAAACACTGGTTACTGGTAGAAGCAACAATGCTTTCCTTTGGGGAGAGCCTAATGCAGTTGCAGCATTTGGTGCACATGTGCATAAGTGCCCCCGTCAGGTGACGACGGAGGAGGCGGGTGCAGAGGGATATCGCTGCTGGGATCAGGCAAGTACAAAATAATGTATATCAATCTTCCTCCATCTAACTACTTGTCAAAGCGGACATTTATCATGCCTACATAGAAATTTCGAAATCAACATACACACTCGGAAAAAACAGAACACAAAAGAACATTTATTAATGACAGTTTAATGATTTTATTTTTTAAATTCAAACTTTACAAGACCCTCCTGTAGTTAAACAATTATTACAATTCCAATGATGGAATGTTAGTTTTCTAAAATACCCCCAAAAAGTGCATGCTGCGTCTCTAAACTTAAGTGTATTGCAGAAAAAGACCAACTTTCAAAAATAAACACAGTACTTGTAATAAGAATATATATATATTATGTATAAAACACAAACCACTTGTAAATTTAAAGCAGGGATCTGTTCAGACTTTTCAAATAATAAAAGGCAAGGAGAGATCTGGATGTTTCATTTCTACAGAATTAAAAAAAAAAATATATATATATAATATCTCCAGCTCTTTAAATGTTCCAATGCTTGCTACTAATTTGGTATTTAGCAGTAGAGGAATGAAAAGGTTTGGAAAAAATAAAAAACAAAAAACAAAACAATAACATTCTGAACAGATCCCTAGGGAGAAAACATATTCACAGTTTAGAGATGACAAAACAAAATTGTGTACGTCATTCTGAGATTAGCGGGTAGTTCAATGCAGAACACGCACAGCCTGCAATTCTCAAGGATGAAACACCACAACATTAACTGATTCAACATTGTCATTTTAAAAAATAAAACATATTGAAAAGAAAATAAACACCAAAATATTATATATATATATATATATATATATATATATCACACCACACAAACAGATCAAGTGATTACTGTGGAAAAAAAACAAAACTGTGGTAGAAAGCAATACCCATTTCAGCTACAGACACACAACTTTGGCATTCAAGCTGTTGTGGACTAGATTTATAATGGCCAGTATTCATGGGATACTTTATCAACATTAAGTATTTCAGAATTTAAGGAAATGGGAAGGCCCATCAATATGCTTGCTAGGGTTGCAGATACCACAAAAAAAAAAAAAAAAAAAGTTGGTTTCTCTGTGCAGTTGATGTTTTGCTAGATTGCAGAGAAACTGATTGATCAGAAACACTCAAATGCTCAATGGGCAATATTTGGGCATTATTTGTGGATTTTTTTTCAGTGTGCATTTTCTGCTCCCACCCCTAAATATAACAGAACCCTCTCCTTTAAGGAACACTATAGTGTTAGGAATAGAAAGCTATGTTTCTAACACTACAGGAACCCTCTGTCCCCGTGGCTATGTAAAGGGTTAAAAAACAAACAAAACAAAAAACTTTTAACACTTACATGATCCAGCTCCTTCTCTGCCAACATCAGCCAATGGGGGGAACCTAATGGGACTTTCCCTATAGGAAAGCATTGACTCTGCTTTCCTATGGGGTTAATAAACATGCTGGATGCACTCCTACAATGCGCAAGGACATCCAGCATCTTTTCACAGAGTCAAACTCCATCAAACTACAGGAAGCTACTCTAGTGGCTGTCTGGTAGACAGCCACTAAAGGCTGTCTTAACCCTTTAATGTAAACATTGCAGGGTTAAGGGAACAAGGATACTGCTCCCAGCTCACTTCAATTAGATGAAGTGTTCTGGGAGCCTATAGTATCCCTCTAAGAAAAATAAAACAAAAAATGGTTAAAAATTAAAGTGTCAATATGAATGCACAAAATCCCCTTAACATGAACATATTTCGTTGGGGGGAAAAGTCACAGTTTAAACATGGCTCACCTAGAAATCTTACAAAAACAAAGGAGAACAAAAGATGCATAAAGCATTTACACTTTTTGACAAAATACAACTGGTATCCTTACAGTGTTCTGCATTTATTACAAGAACCTGTGTTTCAAAACCTGTCCGTAAGTGGTGCTATAAAAAAAGTGTAATAGCAAACAGTAAAACCAACTTTCTGGAACGTGAGGAATCAGCAATTCACAGGGCAACAAATGTTCATGTTGCTCTTTGTCCAAAAATCTGGATAAGATAACTGTGGCCAGTTAGATTACATTCCACAATGCTACATTCGCCTTAATAAGACAGATTTAGAACAGGCTGCCAAACAGTAAGAGTGCTAACATAACACAGATGCATTTACAAAGGCTGTTACTGGCTATGTAACAGCAAGACCTCCATGTACCATTATAATCAGCATGGTAAAAATCACAGTAAAAATACAACGGAAAGTATTAAAAAAAAAAAAAAAAATAAAGGTCGCTCACTCAGCAGACCAGAGTGGTTAAGATCACTGCAGGCTGCTACAGCAGTAAAAATATATAAACTCCAAACAAGATATACTTTATAGCGAGGTTTTTCAAACCAGTTCTCAACAGAGGGATATTTAAGGTTGTCTTCTCTACATCAGATGAACACCTGATACAAAAAAATGCAAAATTTTCTTTTCTGACCTGGTGTGACTTAATTGAAGACTTGCCTACAAGCCAATACTGCAGCTTTTACAGAGTGATTTTAAATCATTACACACTAAGCATACTACCTCACATTTTGGCATATTTCCCCAATCCACTCATCGAATTGCCTCATTATTAAATCTTTGTGTTATATTGTCTTCAATTTCACCAAGCTTAAATTAAAAGTAGGTTACTTCCCACATTCGTGTCTTATTTTCAAACAATTGTTTGCAATCAGTAAAGCTTATTTTATTTATATTTTGTTATTTTAACTAATTCTAGGCAACATCTGAAAAGACTCAGGGGGAGGGGGAGATGAAAAAATACACCAGATGATTTCTTACATTGCCAGGAAATTTAGACAAAAATAATAGTCAACAATTAGTTATTGGATTGAAGAAGCACCCATAAAAATAAAAGCACATCACAGAATGGCTCAGATAATATATACTGACATCAGTCAGAAGTGCTCAAGTAATTGTCTCACAGGGAGGTAAGTTTTTCCAAACACTCCATACAGTACACCACTGCACATTTTACAGCTTACTGCCAGCAAAGCACTTTACACGTAACCAGTACTATACAGTCACTATAGATGCAACCTTTTAACATGCAATTCCACACTGCCAAGGTGTGTAGTTAAAGGCCAAGCATGGGTATGAAAAATATATAATTCAAAGAAGATATTTTCCTCCACTATTTATATGGATAAGATGCAAATCTGACTTTTAAAGACACATGAACAACACAAAAAATAACACTGTGCAATTTATCAATTGTTATTCTATTGGTGTGAGTAAATGTACTAACTGCTCTTCAAAGACCGCAGCAGCAATCCAAAGACTATAAAATAGCATTTTATAGTTTAAGATACCTTATATGCTCCAGGCTCCTTTGAAATAAACAAAAAAATAAATGAGATGACTAAACACCTTACAGTGTGCACAAAAGCCACATTACCAAAGCAAAGACACTGAATCATTAACTTTCACAGATTTTGTACAACTCCGACACAGAACATTTTCCCGCCTCATTCTAGAGCCACAGATTTTATGCTAGGCAATCTAAAGATATGAAATACCATGGGCCATCAGAGTAGAATTTCCATTAACTGTAATTATTTGGCCTTCTAAAGGTTTCATACAACATATCCCGATGTGCGTCAGAGGGGTTGGACAAATTCACAACACTACCACTGAAAAGGGTACAAGTCAAGCAAAAAAAAAAATAATTAAAAAAAAATAAAAAAAAATAAAAATCACACTAAGTAGGCACTGGTGAAATTCCACCACCACCTTTTATGTAGATGTACACACAATTTAAAAAATAAAATAAAAATAAACACTCCAAAGTTGGTTTGAGACATGAATTCTGCTTAGTCTTGTACAACCATGGTAGCATATCAATAAAGACGAAACAGACTTGCAATTGTGCATGATGTGCAACCTGTCATTTAAGTGAAAATGGCTATTTGTGCAGTAATTTAAAAAGTTTAGAGAACAAACCAATCCTCATGCTGGACTGTCTTCGTCCGTAACAAACAGGAATCTGGTGCGGTTTTGTTTTTTTCCTCCCTCTACAAAAGCCAAAGATATAGAGGAAAGGGTTGTGGCATATCAAAACAAAAAATAAATAAAATACAACCAGGCAATGTGTGTTCTGGATTATCAGAGGAAGAACAGAGAGGAAGGCAAAGATATGGGAAGACCCTCTCTGACAGGGAATTAAGTCACATGCATTTATCCGCCCAGATGGGCTCTACAAAAACGAGGTAGATTTAAAAAAAAAAAAAGAAAAAAAAAATGTAGTAAAACATAAAATTATATACAGCCACTCTTTAAGAAAGTTTGAAATTATACATTCTACTAAAGACAGAGCAACTTTAAATAAACTAACATTTTCCTCTTGGCCAAGTGCATTATATGTTAATAGCCTGTACTAGTCTCATGAAAAGAAGAAAAAAAAAAAACAAAGGAAAAAATAATATATAAAAAAAGTCTCCTACAGTTCCTTTCCTCAGTGAGTTTTACATCTCTACAGTATGCAGTAACTGAATTTAATATGGTGGTAAAAGTCAACCTTCCTCTTCACACCCGGTTATCAACAGATCACAAAAAATCTCAATAAATCTCTGATTATGTGCAATTTCAAAGGTTAATAGGGTCTTTAGGCATGAATATACATTCCATATTTGGTTTTAAAGAAAGACCCACCATCTCTGTAAAACATGCTTAGGACTGAGTGCTGTATCTGTTTCCAAGTTGAAGATCAAAGCTGTAGCCTGGTGTTTAATAAATTGTACTTGTATTATACCCTTTATGCACAGTGGCTGCAATTTGTAAACTCTTGCCTACTTTAAGAAGTCAATGATTCTGTTAGAATTGGAACACAGGCACAGAATCCCCAAGCTGCCTATTGCCATCAGACCACATTCTGACATTAATTGAAAGTCAGGGAGTCAATGGCCATACAACCAACTTCGCTAAACCCATATAGTAACAATGTGCATGGCCAAGCATCAAACCACATACATGGTCAGAAAAACATTCATCCAAGACGCCTTCATGCAAAATGCAGTGGATTAAAATTCTGGAGCAGTCATGTTATTTTCCCAAATTAAAAGACTATATCCATTCATACCTTAACACATTTTGCTTAACATTAAACCCTTAGGTAGGCAACTACTAATATAGGTCTTACTAACAGATCTTATTTGGAGTAAAATGCATCCAAAAATGGTTAAAAACAAAGACTTTAGCTGCTGCCTAGCTGTTAACTCTTCTTTTGAATACTAAATCAATATTCAGAAACTTTTTTGAAGGGATATCTGTACATATTGTAATATCGCCCTCTATAAAAAGCAAACACAAAACACGTTAAAAAAATTATATATACACCAAGCTAAACCATGGTGCAGACAGACAGAAACTGAAAGATCAAAGTCACTAATCAGTAATGGCAGGATGTAAATGATCCCCAAGGCACAGCAAGAGTCTGCAGGCAAAGCAGAAGCAGCAGTAGTGCAAGAGACAAACACTAGAAGGCCCCTTCTGTTAGAAGATATTGGGGTTAACAAACACAGGCGCAGATCTGCGAAGGCAACAAACATTATACTCTCCAATGGAGCAAGATCTGACAATGGCTGAACACAGCACATACCCCCCCCCCATGTGTCGTTTTGAGGGCTTAAGCCACTGTGGAAAAACAAAAATATGGTTAAAATAGGTCAATAGGTTATGAAGCCTCACTAAGATTTTTGAACTACCAATTGATCATTTTACAATTAAGATGGTGAAATGTTCTGTCAAGTAAGAAATTTTGAAAATAGAAAAACAGGTGATATTGAGGTAAAAAAAATAAGCAGAAACTTATTCACTCTCTAATAAAAGAAAAAAAAAGTAAAGAAAAATGAGACGAATAAGATGCGGTCTTTCATTTTACAAATTGCAACAGGTTAACATAGAAATAGGGGCAAATGAGAAGCCACACATGTATCTTCCAGCAAGACAGTAAAGAGATGGTTGTGCTGTGTGAAAACCTGTACAAAAGGATGCAAAGGTGCTTGGACTATGCAGTGATTCTAGGAATAAGTTACAAGCTACCCCAACCTATAACTTGCAAAGTTGCAGAGTTCATTTATGAACTAGTCTCGTTGGACACATTCGTAAGCCCTATGGCACATGGAATTTCCTCTATTCAAAACTTGTACTATACATTTAAAGAAAGAAAGAAAAAAAAATTAAATGTAGAGAGTAGGCAAAGGATCCAGAGAGGAAACGTTAACCCAATCCACACAACTTCAACACAGCATGTACAGGAGATTCAATCCCCTATAATAAAAATAGATATATATATATATATTTATAAAATAAAAAAAGCACACCCTTTGCAAAACTACCCCTCAAACAGAGAGGTTACAACAATAAAAGTAGCATATGGGTGTGTGATGAAGTCATTATAAGGAAGGCTGAAAGATCCTTCAACACAGTCCACGAAGGTCCCAGGGATCATTTAGGTGATGATGGTATGGTGGCTGTTTTATGAGCGGTTGAAGGTGTAAAGGATTGCACTGCAACGCTAGCCTGGTAAGTTGCAAGATGTTGGTTTGGGAGGATCGAAGACTGGGCAGTCCACTGCACAGGGTAACCAGTGTTTCCCATGGTACTGTACTGACAGGCGTGTGTTAATGGGTAGGCTGGACTTCCTCCTGGTGTAAAGTTGGGGAGCCCAAGATTTTGAGAGATGGCTGCTGGGACAGTTCCGTGAATCTGAGATATTGAAGATGCCCAACTGGATGGGTAGCCTGAGGTGGCCGTTGAATTCTAAAGAATACAAAAGAAAATAACCTCCTGTTACTTCATGTTAATTTTTAATGCCAAATAATGTTATGCATAGAAATGCAAGTGCATCTGTCACATGTGCAATTATTGCTAAATAAATTAATGTCTAAAAGAAAAGCTAGTTTTGTTTATAAAAAGAAATATATTTTTTAAAAATAACAAAACAAACAAACAACTGATTTGCAGACTACTTTAAACATGAAAAGCCCGAGCTAGGAAATTGACTTAATTTATACTACAGAAGTATTTTGTTAGCCATCATCCACTTCTATATATACATATGCATTTAATTTTACACCTTAAAATAATTGTACATATCGATAGTAACAAGTAGTACAATAAGTGTATAAAGTAGCAATTACAATATTAATAATACAATAAAAATGAAAAACAAAAACAAAAAAAATTGTTTACATCCACCTAGTTACTAATCTATATTGAGAAAAAAAAAAAAAAGTATTTTATATATGTTTTGTAGAATTCTGTGTTTAAATCATATTATACATGGTAATTATAAGAAAATAAAAAAAATTTGTCAGGTGGGAAATGGTCAAAGTTTGTACTGAAGCATAATTTTATCTTCCCATGCTATCCATTCTTGTTTTTTCAGACGGAATGCGAAGCGCTAGTTCATAACATCTTATCAAAAATCGAGAACTTCATTCACCAATTGTGTAACAGGTGATTTCCAATACTTTGGAATAATTGATGTAGCTGACACCAGAAGGTGACCCAGCATACTTATTTTAAAATGCGGTAAATTAGCAGGGAGTTTTTGTTTTTTTAATAGACAGAGACTTGGAGATAAAACTACGTTGAATTCTGTAATACTATTGATTAATGAAAGGCTTTTGACACTGTTGCACATAGAAGGCTTATCAATAAACTGCAATCTTTAAGTTTGGATTCCAATATTGTTGAATGGGTAAGGCAGTGGCTGAGTGACAGGGAACAGAGGGTTGTAGTTAATGGAATATATTCGAAGCTTGGACTTGTCACCAGTGGGGTACCTCAGGGATCTGTACTTGGACCCATTCTCTTTAATAATTTTATTAGTGATATTGCAGAAGGTCTTGATGGTAAGGTATGTCTTTTTGCTGATGATACTAAGATATGTAACAGGGTTGATGTTCCAGGAGGGATAAGCCAAATGGCAAATGACTTAGGTAAACTAGAAAAATAGTCAGAATTGTGGCAACTGACATTTAATGTGGATAAGTGCAAGATAATGCATCTTGGACGTAAAAACCCAAGGGCAGAGTACAGAATATTTGATAGAGTCCTAACCTCAACATATGAGGAAAGGGATTTAGGGGTGATTATTTCTGATGACAAAGGTAGGCAGACAATGTAATAGAGCAGCAGGAAATGCTAGCAGAATGCTTGGTTGTATAGGGAGAGGTCTTAGCATTAGAAAGAGGGAAGTGCTCATGCCATTGTACAGAACACTGGTGAGACCTCACTTGGAGTATTGTACGCAGTACTGGAGACCATATCCCCAGAAGGATATTGATACCGTAGAGAGGGTTCAGAGAAGGGCTACTAAACTGGTTCATGGATTGCGGGATAAAACTTACCAGGAAAGGTTAAAGGATCTTAACATGTATAGCTTGGAAGAAAGACGAGACAGGGGGATATGATAGAAACATTTAAATATATAAAGGGAATCAACACAGTAAAGGAGGAGACTATATTTAAAAGAAGAAAAACTACCACAACAAGAGGACATAGTCTTAAATTAGAGGGACAAAGGTTTAAAAATAATATCAGGAAGTATTACTTTACTGAGAGGGTAGTGGATGCATGGAATAGCTTTCCAGCTGACGTGGTAGAGGTTAACACAGTAAAGGAGTTTAAGCATGCGTGGGATAGGCATAAGGCTATCCTAACTATAAGATAAGGCTAGGGACTAATGAAAGTATTCAGAAAATTGGGGAGACTAAATGGGCCGAATGGTTCTTATCTGCCGTCACATTCTGTGTTTCTATGAAAGGATATCTTGCCAGTATTGAACAATCTTAGGGCATGACCAGAAAATATGAGATAAAGTCCCTATTAAACATCAGCCTCTAACATTTATTTGTGGTACCAAGGTGTTATTTAGAAAGCCTAGATGGAGTTAGGTACCACCTGTATACTAATTTATAATGAGACTCCAGATTAACACATTGTGTAATGCCTTTCAGTGTGAGAAGGAAGTCATGCCACTCATCTATTGTGTATACCGCACCCAATTCACTCTCCCATTTCAATATATAGTCCAATTTTGGACCTATTTCACCCGCAAAAACAGTAACAGAGAGAGATGGTGTGTTTCTGGCCATGGTCTGACAAATAGACTGTTTCTAATTTTGATATTTCCAATTTCTTCTCATTCGGCCCCCGGTCGGAAAACACCAAAATGTTCTTTAATAGAGGTTACCAATCTCTCATGCATGGGGGCATCAAAAATGCTTAGGCCGAATTTCTCTAAATTGATTAAAAGTTTAAAGAACAAGTTATTGAATGAAAACAAATCATTAATGTGGGAAATCGAATGGGAAAGACAATATTCAACATTCAAATCAGGTAAGGCATAACATAATGCAGTCAGGGGCGTAGCTCTGGACCAAGTGGCATTAGGCTGGATTTCCTTGTATAAAAAATTCCATGCCTTAAGGGTCATTTTAGTAGACGGAAACACCTCTGCCAATCTTGGGCGCTGAGAAGAAGGCAGGCACAGGAAGTCTAATTAAATAAAGGAGAATTTTATTTGCTTCCATCTCAAGCCACTGGGGACCGACGTTATCCAAATTAAATTTGACTGCCATTGGTCGCATAATAATGGATAAGGTTTGGCAAACCCATAACTCCACTAATCCTGAGCTTTGTAAAATCGATAATTTAATCCTACTTTTTTTTTTTTTTGTTTGTTTCAAATAAATGCTATAAGGGCAGAGTGAACCTTTTGGAAAAAAGATAAACGTACAGAAAGGGGGATTGTCCGAAGAAAATATCAAAGTTTTGGAAGGAGAGTCATCTTAACCAAATTAATCCTACGTAACCAAGATATTTTGAGACTACACCATCTCTCTATATCTTCCCTAAGCTTGGACCAGGGCTTACCCAAGTTATACATATGCATCTTGGACAGGTTCTTGCACAAGTTAATGCCCAGATAAGAAAAATTAGTCCATCCAGTCGAAGTCATAAGGTTCTTTTACAGTGTTTAACGCATACCATGGTACAAAAAATTGTAGAGCTTGTGTTTTATTTGTATTTAACTTATAGAATAAAATCTTGCCGAATTCTCGCAGAATAGACATCAACGGAGTTAACAAGCTCCATTAGTTTTTCAAAGAGAGCATATAATCATCTCCGAAAAGGCCAATTTTATGTTCCTTATCCCCCACTACAATGCCTGTGGACTGGTGTATCATTTTAGCCAAGGGTTCCATCGCCAACGGACACTCCTGTTTGGTTCTATTAGATAGTATAAAATTATCTGACATATATCCCGCTGCAGATACTCTTGCCGTTGGTTGACAGTATAATGCGAACACAGCCTTGATGACAGGATCAGGTAAATTGTATCGCAACAAAACTGAATTCTATCAAACACCTTCTCTGCACCCAAAGAGTAGCAGAGAAGGCGTTCGCTCTAGCCTAATTTGGTGGATTATATTAATAAAACAGCGTGTGCCATCAGGTGCCTGACTATTTACAATAAAGCCCACCTGGTCTTAGTCAATCAGGCACGGGGGAGAATTTGATTACGGCTATTTGCAAGAATCTTAGAGTATATTTTGGTATCAGTGTTTATTAATGGGATGGGATGAACATTTGAGCATGCAATGGGTGCTCTGCCAGGTTTAGGCAATGTCACTATTTGGGCTTTAAAGGCCTCTCTCGGCATTTCTCCTGTGTTCCAATAATTATTAAATACTTGTGTCAAGTGCGGAGTTAAAATGTCAGAGAAAGATCTATAATATGAAATTGTGAAACTGTCAGGACCCGGGGCCTTACCAGTCGGGATCATGTTAATAGCGTCAGCAATTTCTGTATGAAAATTTAGTATGTTCAATTTGTCTGTTAAAAATTGTTTCAAAGGGCCCCTATCCAAAAATGAACATGTTTTTTCAGATGTTGGTTGTATACTATTAGGATCAAGGGCCAAATTGTAAAAAAAAAAATATATATATTTTTTTAATAATAGTCCGCAAACATATTGCTAATTTTAACAGGGCAAGTTATCTTAACTCCCTCGTCATTAATTAAATGCTCAATTCTAGATTGGGAGATTCTGTGGCGTAATTTAGAGGCCAACAAAGATGAGGCCTTGTTCCTATTGGCATAAAAAAACTTGTTTTAATTGATTTACCATCAATGCTGTATATTCCAACTGAAGAGTGTTAATCTTATAACATTAACTTCTCTAGACATAGAGGGCAATATTAAACAAAGTGAATGTGCGGATGAGATCAACCACCTTGTGAAATTTGTTTTAATTCTGACACATGGGCAAGAATTAAGCAGTGATGCCACAGTGAGGGTACAATGGGTTGGGAAAAGTTG